ACTTCACGAAAATGGCTTCTTGCAACATGTAAATGACAACATTCATTACTTGCGCGTGCTGCTAAAGTCATTAAACGTATGCTTTTGTTGGTTAACTCAATTGATATTTGACAACGATATTTCAATATATGTTGCAAATATAACCATTTGTAATGTATGCTTGCAAAAAAGTTTATGTATTTCAGAGATTTCACAAGAGGTAATCACTGTATCTAAAAAGAAAAGTTAACATGCAGCATATTTTCCATCGTTGGCCGCCCTTTGTTAAAACCTTCTCCTTTCACAATGGGCAATGAACATTGTTAAAAGTAAAAGCCTGTTGCAATAAAAAAAAACTCAACCCAAATTTAATGTCATCCCATTTAACAAAACCAACCCAAATCTAAATACAACCCGACCTTCCAAAAAAATGAAAACTTAAAACACCAAAATGAGACATCCCTAAATGTTTCGGTCGAAGATTCTTCTCTCTCGCATCTGCCTCTGCCTCTGCCTATGTCCGATCGTAATTCCGGCTGCTGTTCACTCATGGAACTCTCTCCCTATTCCCTCATGGTACTCTGTCTTTAGCTCTGTTTTTATTCAACACAACTACATAATTATATTGCACACTCATCATGCAAATTCAGCACGTGGAGCGCACGACTTAATTGAATATGTAGGAATTTAAACAATCTACTAGCTTTATATGTTTGCAAAAGCAATACCATTATCAAATTACCCAGGAAACTAGTCATTGAATGCAGTTATTGCAGTTTGAAACAACTAATGATAACCACTTACCCAAGTATTTAGTTTTAAAATGCCTACAAGATATATGTACATCTAAAACGGGATTACCATACTGACTAGAATCCATGTCTCCTTCCACATACAAGCACAAAGATACTTAAAATCAAGGGGCACAACTTTCTGCTCCTTGTGACAATGGGTGATATTAGAATCACACATATAGAGGCGCAGCAGCTAAGCCTTCAAAATCACACTTGACGTTATTGAAGTACTCCACTATTGAACAAGTAAATGAAATTAATTTACTGAAAAATAACATTTACCAACA